AAAAATAATAAATATCGGAACAATACCAATTTTATTTATTTTTGGATCCCATAGACAACTCCATAAATGAGTGTCTCAAAAAAAAAAAAATCAATGTTTTTGGAGAGGAAACTAAATCAATAATTGTACATAAAAACAAAATTATCAATTACTATATAAACATAATTTTGTAGTAATTATTAGAGTGACCATTGATAAATAGTGCGGATTACCATGATAATTGTATTTGGAGGGAGTCTTACTTCAATTTGTGACAGGTACTAATTTGTTAAGAAAAAAAATTAGAAAATGTGCGTATTTAACTTTTAAGTGCGTCTCACTCCAAATTCATAACCACCAGTCTCCCCACCAACCCCAAAATCACTATTTTCTATTTGTAAAGCTACTTTGTGATAGGGTCTGTTTTTTTCCGGGGGTCGTAAAGAGCTAAGAGGAGTAAACGTCCAAACATTGATAACTTTATAAGGGGAAAACTATGTAATCAAAATTTATAACTTAAATTTGCATTTTAAGTGAAGGGGACTATTGGATTAGTGAAGAACTCATTGATCTAATGACCCCCTTCATTTGAGATGCAAATTTGAGTTACAAATTTAAGTTATATAGCATTAATTTTTTATAAATTATTTTTTAAATGTAGATTCGATGAATTTTTAATGTGGAATCAATTCAAATTATTTAAGACGCTCGACTCCGTCTAGGAAAACAATGTTTTTTTTAATGGTTAGGGATGTTTAAATCAATATGCATGCATCTTGATTAATTTCTTCTTTAATTTGGCAAAATATAAGTCATTTACACTAAAATTAGAATATTTTATTAAGAATAAATTTTTTATAATTTAATAAAATATTATCAAAATTTAAACTCCAAGCGTCAATTCTTATACACCACCTTCATGCACTGCCTCTCTGACACCACCTGACATGACACAATCACAGCCATCGAACACTTTATATTTTTTGTGGACCTGCTAATGTAATTGAGTATGTTGAACCAAAAAAAAAAAAAAAAACACGAATAACAGTTGTGAGAAACAAAAAGCCAACGACGACGTTTGTTTCATAAAAATCTTCACCGGAAGACTTCTTAATTCCAGCACCTCGAGATACCATCCTCCATCAAAATTTGATTTGTTAGGACGTTTCCAATATAATATATAAAATTTTAAAATAATTAAAATTTAGCTAATCAATGATAAAAATTATGTTTCAACAAAATATGTTCAACTGTTCTAAAACAGTTTTTTCCTTAAAACAGTGTTTTAAAATCCAGCCCGGATATTAATCCGGTGAAGGGACCGGGTTACTGGTTTAACCGATAATATAATAAAAAAATAATAAATAATTATAAATAATAATAAATAAGCTAAAAAATCGCAATAATTATAAAAATAATATCAAATATATAAAGTTAAGTAGAGAAAAATCATCAAACATATATCCGATTTGAATGTATGAAACTCTTTGTAAGTGGTTAATTTGTTTTTCATTTAGAAAGGGTGAAAACCAATTTCTGTTGTGTTGTGCTTGGTATGGACCTCTACCTGATTAAGAGAAGCTACAAGTCAGAGGGGAACTACCAAGAAATCACAAGCAACCAACCCACGTAGTTGAGGCAAAGTTTTGTTTAGCCAAATTGAGTGTCAAACTCCCAACATGCTAATTATAAGTAGGCCTCTGGTTTGCTTGGAAATGATCTCCAGTGATAGAAATTCAAATTAGAATAATGCAAACTTTTTAGTTTAGCAATTGACAAAATAATATTGATTCTTTACATTACAGATCTAGATATATATCTCTCAAGCACACTTGCATTAACTCTATCGAAGCCATACACAACCCTGGGATAGAAATACAGTATTACACATAGTCGGTTTTGATTACTAAATACCAACAATGAATCTACCTCATCTAGTTGCAAAATAAAAAACCCAAATTACACGCCTATGTATGTACAAATTGAGAGAGAGAGGAATTGGACAATGTAACCAACTTACCAAAGTACCAAACAAGAATTGGATTGAGACAGAGAAAAAGGGGGAGAGTCCAAACATGAATTGGACTGAGACAGAGAAAAGGAGAGAGAGAGAGAGAGGGAAACTCACTAGTGGTCACTGGTACTATAGTCGCAACTGGTGGAACCGTGGAGGCGAGGTGGTGGTCAGTGACGTCAGTCGCTGTTGATTGGGACTATTGGAGATGAGGTGGTGGCCGTGGGTAGTCAATCGTTGGGTTGGTGATGGAGACGAGGTGGTGGCTGTGGGTGGTCAGTCGTGAGGTTGGTGGTGGAGGCGAGGCTTTGCCTCCAGTCTGTGGATCGATTAGTTTAACTTTAGGGCAACATAACAAAGCAAACAAAAGGAGATAAAACAAAAAGGGGAAAAATCGAAAAAACTCTCAGATTTTATACAAATGACATTAGCCCATTTGGTTTTGTAAATTCGTTCGATTCTCACGGATTCATCGATTTTTGACTGGCTCAGCGAGTTTATACCGGGTTCTGTACAAAAACAATTTTTTATTAGAACTGGCCCGGTTCTTCGGATTGACCCACCGGACCGAGTTTTAAAACACTGTCTTAAAATAATCATTGTAATAACTTATATAAATATTTATAATTTTTTCTCTCTCCTCATATATTTTTTCTCGCCTCTTTTTTCAATTCTCTGCTTTTTCCTCTATTCTCTCTCTCTCTCCCCTCCAATTATCACAATAAAAGTATAAAATATGTGAAATAATATTTAAAAGAAATAATTAAATATAAAAAAAAATGTTAGAGTGTGTATTAAAAAAATGAGTAATTAAAATAAACAAATGTAATTTTGAATAACTAAAATATAAAACATTTCTAGAGATCTATATTAATAAAACAGAGCCTCCTGTTTGAGTTGCGTAAATTCTTTGATCAGAAAAATACAACAATGGCTGAAATTGTTTCGATTCAACGATTTATATCTTTTAATATTTTTATCACGATAATTCATTTAAATTTAAATTTTTAACTTTTTAATCACTATAATTCATTTAAATTTTAACTTTTAATTACAATAACTCATTTAAATTTAAATTTTTTAGTCATAATAACTCAATTTATACTTTAAAAACGAACGTGCTTGCCACGGGCACGACCAGTGCTCTTATAAACATAGCGGCAAGTGGAGGCAACTTTTGAGTTGGGAATCACATGGGAGGGGGCAGACAAAACAGAGTGTATATGGGGGGGAGAAATTTTTGTATGCGTACAAAATTTTTAATCCATCCATTAAAAACAAACGTGCTTGCCACGGGCACCACAAGTGGTCTTGTAAACATGGCGGCAAGTGGATGCAACTTTTGAGCTGGGAATCACAAGGGAGGGGGCAGACAAAACAGAGTACATGAAGCAGGTGGAGCCTGGAGCCTGTAGGTACACGTAATAAAAGATGGTTGGTTTTGGACCCATTGATCAAAACCACATGACCAGATCATGTTTTTTTTTTCGGTCTTAGTTTTTCAATGGCTTCAACGCAACACGTGGCATTGTAATATGATTTGTATAACTAATAAAAATTATACATGTCTAATTAATAGTTGACACCTATCATCTTGTTAATTTTTTTTAATAAAAAAATAATATTATTTAAATTAAAAAAATTAATCTAATTTATTGGCATGATGATATAATTTTATTGTAATTATATTAGATTAATATCAAATTTTAATGTTTAATGGAATCTCTATTTTTACATGAATTTGTGTAATAAAATATTTTAATTCATGCAATGTTAGTTTAAAAAATTGTTATGTTACAATTCTGTTTTATGCATTTGATAATAATATCATCGGTCTATTATTCGGTTTTTAGCAACTTGTGTCGCATTCTGATTTTTATGTAGAACAGATTGACTTTAACCCTTTGTGACTTGTCGCGTCAAAAATTAATATAAAAGATAATGGGATGTGAGTATTTTTTTTAAAATTTATTTTACTTTAATTATCACTTCTAAACTTTTCCTCTTTTAAATTTTTTTTTTCATCAAATAGTTGTCAATAAGTACATATTTTAAAACATTTTTCAAATTCTTTCTAAAATGTATTCCATAATTACCCATACAATAAATAGTGCAAACCTATTTGAATGTAAGACTTTTAAGATTCTTTTTAATATTTGTGTATCATTTAAATTTTGAAATTTCATATACATACACACACGTAATACGCTGACATTAAACAGTGACACGTTCAATAAAAATATTTATGTGACTGTTTGATGTTACTATTTTTTTGTTGAGTGTGTTACTATTTTATGTTACTATTTTTTTGTTGAGTGTATTACAGTTTGATGTTACTCTTTTTTTGTTGAGCGTGTCACTATTTGATGTTACTATTTTTTATTGAACGTGTCACTGTTTAATGCCACTATATTACGCGCGCGCGTGTGTATATATATATATATATATTTTAAAATTCAAATGATACACAAATATTAAAAAGAATATTGAAAGTCTCACATTCAATTAAGTATGCACTATTTATGGTAGAGGTAAAAGGGTTTTTATAACTTTTTTTTAGCCTATATACTTCTATTCCAATTATTTTAAAAAATATTTTTTTATCTTATTATATTTTTTGGGAGGTACATGTCTCCATAAGCCCCTTATTACAATATGTATAGAACAGTAAAAATAGACTTGAAGAATTCATTGAATGGGCCTAGCCCCTGCATCTTGCTGGACTAAATTGCTTATTCATGAAGCTGGGCCAACCAACTTTTATATGATATTTCTCCAGGATTATTAGTCTAAGGCCTTACAAGAACAGATTTATGAGCCCTTAAAAGTGAACTATACTAGGCCCATTTCGTTTGCCCGCATGATATAGCAATAACTAAAACAGAAGTGGGCTACTCATGGGCCCATTAACAAGGTTTCAAATAGTGCCATCAGTCATACCACTCCTTGGTTTACAAAACCATCATTCAACTCTTATCACTCCTCACTCCAATCCCTCCCTCCCCCCCCCCCCCCCCCCTTCTCGCTCTCTCTCCAGAATGTCTTATGTGCCTCCTCATCTCAGGAATTCCATTACCACCAAAGCCACATCAACAACAGCCCTAGACTGTAACACTGATTATTATTCGAACCTCACCTCTCCATTCTCTCACTCCAACCATTCCAACAGCAATCACAACAACACTAGCATTAGCAACATTAACTGCAACAATTTCTCGTCGGCGTCCTCCAATGCAGCTCGTCGGAGCTCAGGCAACGCCCCCTACCCCGTCTTCCCTCAATGGAACCCATCCGAACGCGTTCTCCGTCTTAAACCTGAACAGGTTCGATGATTTTCACTGTTCCGTTCGAATTCTCTAGAATTTTTTTGTCAAAAAAGGTATTGATTTCGATTAATGCTTGTTCTTGAACTGAAAATGCTATCGTTTTTGGTTTTTTATTGGTGAATTAAGCCTCTGTTGGTGTTCAGTGTAATTTTAGGGCTTCTCCGTAGTTAAGATGTTGAAATTATCTTGTTGTGCGGGACTTATATACAGATAGAAGAGGTACGTCTACGGCTTAGTGTTGATGTTACTGTTGCTCAGGACTCTCCTCCTGCTCCTGCTCCAATAGAATCATTCACAGATATGGTAAGCTAAACTTTATCATTGGGATGCAATGAAAAATGACTTAGTTTGTATAACTTTCTCTATGGATTCACTATATATCCAGTGCTTGCACGCTAGCATCATCAAGGATATTGCCTTTCACGAATACACTAGTCCTACTTCTATTCAAGCTCAGTCCATGCCAGTTGCTTTGAGCGGAAGGGATCTTTTAGGTTGCGCTGAGACAGGAAGTGGCAAAACTGCAGCATTCACCATTCCTATGATACAGGTCCTCCATCATATATGTACATATATTACACATTGAATATTTATGACTTCTACCATTCAACTTTATCTTGTCATCTTTTTACCTTCTGATTTGCAGCATTGCCTTGCTCAGCCTCCTGTACAGCGTGGTGATGGGCCTCTGGCATTGGTATTAGCTCCCACAAGGGAGCTTGCACAACAAATAGAGAAAGAGGTGAGGTATATGGTATATATATGTTTGGATGAATGAAATTCTCGTTACAACTATTGAGTCTCGACATTGGACAATAACAGATGCTGTTTTTCTTAGGATGTGTTGTCATAAGAAATGATGCTGAATGTTTGTACAAATTGCCGACACACTTGCTTTCTCATTGTTTCCATTCAAATGAGGGAAATATTTTTTCTTAATTCTTTTGTGTGGTGATTGGAAGTGGTTAAAATTTGGCACAAGAGCCTTAACGTTATGAATTCAAATATGAGAACAATACCTTTGTGCAAAAGGTTAAGTCTGTGCCCTGTCAACTCCTCCCAGACATCACTAATGAGAACATACTTTTAATATGGGAAAAGGCATTATAGGATGTCGCAATGTTGTTAATTCTCTACTGTTACTGATGTTTTATTATTGTATTCTTCCCTTTTTGAAAATTATAAATCCTACCATTAGTCACATAAATTTTCCTCACTTTCAGATTGCATGGTGCTAATGAAGGCATTTGTTTTATTTGATAAATAGTGCATAAAGATTCAAATTTTACTATATCTCAATATTTCTGGAAACTAATTTCCTAGGATAGAATACGTCTCCTCCCTATTTCTCAAGTAAAACAAACACGGTATGAACGTGTCCATTTCCTGGAATTCAGATTTTTGCCTATCCTGTTTAAAAGATTCTTGTTCCATATTCGATAAATCATATACAATTAAGGATGTTTGGATAAATCAATAAAATATATTTTTTCCTTGTGTTTTTCTTTGAAATTCCGTGTACAAGCACAGAATGCTGTGCATTCTACTGTTTCCTGTATTTTCCATCTTTGGAGCCTTTGTCTACTAGAGATTGATAAATTCTTATTAGACGTGGTTTAGATAAGGTGAATTTTTATATGAATCAGGTTTCGTATTTGTTAAGCTACCAATCGGATCGAAATTGTTCAAACTCATCATGTTGAGCAATAACATTTTCTTTTTCCAGGTTAAGGCTTTCAGCCAATCTTTGGAGTCTTTCAAAACTGCCATAGTTGTGGGTGGGACCAACATTGCTGAGCAGGTGAGTTAATTTCCCTAAGTAATTCTATTTCATTGGTTCTTGAAACCCCCTGCATGTTAATGGCTGTATACGTCTTCTTTCAAGTGGGCATAATGGTGGTGAATGAAAGAAACTTTTCTTGATTTTCTTTTCGTCAATTCTCTCTTTCCCTTGATGCCATTTGTGTCATTTTATACTACCGCATTGTATTGCGCAATCATGAAAGTTTAAATTGTTATCTCATATATTCTCGATTGGCTTTTGTTTTTGGATTCCATGATAGAGGTCTGCGCTAGGAGCAGGGGTGAATGTGGTGGTTGCTACTCCTGGAAGATTTATTGATCATTTACAACAAGGAAACACATCTCTCTGTAGAATTTCATTTGTTGTTTTGGATGAAGCTGATAGAATGCTTGACATGGGGTTTGAACCCAAGATAAGAGAGGTAAATAGCATCTCAGTAGTCATAATGCTCTGTTTCCACAAAATGATATATTCAGATTTTGTCAGCTTCTTCATAAAACCTAAAGGGCCTGTAGTTTATTGTATGCTTTTGCCTATTGTGTCTCCCTCATTCTATTTCATATACTTTTGTACCCTTTCCTTCCTCGAGTGCTATATATGCCAGTGTGCAAAGAACAATACGCTGACGACTGAATGACTAAAAATAGCATGTGCAACTCGTATAAATTGTGGTCAATATGGTAGTTCCCTCAACTTTATTATCTATTGTACGAGAATTTGATAGTTCCCCAAATTTTATCTTCCACTGTCCGGCTGAATTACCAGTATAGTTGTTGTTGTAGAATACCCTGACATTCTTGTGTTTTACTTTGGTTTTTCCTTGGATTTCAGATATCCATTTATTAAATTTCAGTTATAGGTTTCCAAAGCATACAGCTCAACTTTTGGCTCTTATATAAGGCTGGACCCCATATTGAGTACTCTCCTTACAGTTCTATAAATTACAACTGTTATTATCTGTAAAGCACTTCTGATTATTATTTAAAACTATAAGATGATGCACAATAGCACTAGGTTTTCTGCCCAATAGCCCAGCAGAACATATTTCCATTTGGCCAAATTTCTCTTACATTTCTCTGTGTAGAGTAATTGTCCAAAAAGGAAACAAATGAAAATTTGAAGAAGTTTTGTTCTAATTTTTCTTAGCACAATAATGTTGGCTTTTTGTATTTTTCTGCTACTTGGATCCAATATGGTTGCTAGCTTCGCCTTGCTATTCCTGTGTATCACCTGCTATAGAAAGAGAAAGCATACAATGAGTTTACTCATGTAGGCTGCAAAGGATGCTCATCCCATTCTTTGCATGTGGTCCTTTGACTTCATGAAAGAAAACATTCACATGCTGTTTGATTTTCTTTCAGATCATGCAGAATCTTCCGGAAAAGCATCAAACTTTACTGTTTAGTGCGACCATGCCAGTGGAGATTGAAGCACTAGCACAGGTGAAATCTGAGTGGTTAAAATTTCATTTTTAAGTTCTTTTTTAATTCTTATGCTGATGTTTTTGGATTTTCAGCATTTGAAATGATACATCTAATCTAACCCACCCATATTTCAGAATGTAGAATATCTTTAATCATTTCTTTTGGTTTTAATACTTTGTCAAAATTTGGAAGTACCTCATGTCATTCTAGGTATTTTGAGGGCTGAACTACAGATCTTTTTGCTAGATGTTACAGAAATGGATTTTGACAGTTTGATTTTGAATTACATTTTTTTCTGTGTTAGCATCAATGCACCTCGCTCGAATGCATCTGTGGTTTCCCTATACAGCTTTTGGAATTACTTTGAAATTGATATATTCATATGCTTTTTACTCGATTGATGGTATCACAAAGAACCTCTCCTGAATAAATCTTCTTTTTCTGTCTTACTAAATTTTAGGAGTACTTGACTAATCCGGTGCAAGTGAAGGTGGGAAAAGTGAGTAGCCCAGCAGCAAATGTATCCCAAATTTTGGAGAAGGTTTCTGAAAATGAGAAGGTATGCATGTCTTGGAATTTAGGCGTGGATTTTTATTTATATACGTGATGTCACAATCTTAGTTTTGACTTATCAGTAATTACTATTTTGTGTAAGGCATGTGATGTTAGTTTTGTCTTTTTTGGACTTTTTTCTTTTATTGGGAGAGGGGGGGTGACTTATTCTTGGACATGTTTTTCCGTTTTCTCATCATCTCTCTCAGTGATGTGTTTTTTTCTTGCATTCTATGTTGTCATTATTCATTGATCAAATTTAAGGTGATTTATTAATGAAACACTAATGAATTGAAGAGCTTTAGAACATTGATTTGTGGTACTTCACCTTACTTCTTGCTGCCTCCTGTAAATGGTTGCCTTTGTATTTTTGATCTATTATCCATTCTTTGGCTGTCTAGAGCAGCATCTATGTCATATGTGAATTGTCTCCCAAGTAGAGCCAACCCCGGCAATCAAGGAAATAATACCGTCTGGGTGTGTTTGGATGACTGGTTTGGACTGGAATGAAGATTCCTGGTGTTTGGGTAACACATATACACTTCTGTGGCGCCCATGGAGAAGGGTGATGTAATATGGTGTCTTTGACTGATATGCCCCTAACAATAAATAATATTTAAGAGCAAAACAATATGATTAAATTAAAGAGCAAAATAATAAATTAAATTAATTTTATTATGGTGGTGCATGGGGGACAACTGAATACAAAACAATAAATTAAATTAAAGAGCAATATGTGTGAATGGAGAATGAGACAAGGCAGGTTATGAATCAGCAACCACCTTTGGTGAATACGTTTGTCATCGCAGCAGCTGATGAATGAGACAAGCCAATATTAGGTTTAATAAATGAAAACGGATAGAATAGTCATTATACTGAGATATCCTATTGATGGCAAAATTATCCCAGCCTCCTCATGTAACCCACATAGGCAAGTTAAAGTTAACTTTTCAAATTAGATCAGGATAAACCCGAGTGGTATTGCCAGTGCACTTTTTTACTTGACAAACACGGGATAAATGGGTCCCACATGCTTTTTTCTCCTATCCTACTAGTGTTATGCCACTTTAGCCCACTATCCAAACAATCACATGTGAATTTCTTCCAGTTAGAGTCAGCTGTGGCACCCAATTTCTGTGCATGTTATAAATGTATGTCCATTTGATTGTTAAAGTTCACGGTTTGATATTAATGTTGGAACTGTGTTTAATGTATCGCAGATTGATCGACTTCTAGCTTTGCTTGTTGAGGAGGATACTCAGGCTGAAAGATCTGTCCATCCATTTCCTTTGACCATTGTATTTGTTGAGCGGAAGGTATTGCTGATTTGAATATTCAATTGCTTTATTCTTTTTGCCCTTTCCCAACCAACCAACACTCTTGCTCCCACCCATTTAAAAAAAAAAAAAGAAAAAGAAAATGGAGAGCTGAGTAGCAGACATGAACACAACATGTAGACATGGGAAAAACATATGAAATGGTCAGAATGAGCACAAGGCGGTTCTTGTATGGCAAAAATTATTCTGGTATTTACCAACGTTGTGAGATTCTGATTAAGGCAAACACAGGATTAGAGGTGTTGATTTACTGAAATTGATTCAGTATGCACCTGTATTGAAATAGTTTTGCATTTTTAGATTGGAGTTGCTATCAAAATCAGTGGTTTGCTTGCTAGGAGCAGAAAGTGGTGCTAAATGTGGTGCAACCTCTATTCATTTATGGGTTTTTTCCCCTTTTGACGAGTTTTTGATATAAACTATAGCCGCTCAGCTTGTGGATCATGCTTTGCAAATGTGGCACTTGATCTTGATGCTGGACAATCAATCTCCTTTATCTTGTTTTCATCATTTGTGAAGACCATTTCTTTCCAACAGGATGCCTAGTAGCTGCTGGAGCTATTGTGCTTTTTAGGTTTTTCTTTGCCTGAAGTTTTAGCACTTAAATCTGGTTCTGCATGCAGACTAGGTGTGATGAAGTTGCAGAAGCGCTGATAGCACAAGGTTTGCAAGCTGTTGCTCTTCATGGTGGCCGTAGTCAAAGCGAAAGAGAGGCTGCCCTTCATGATTTTAGGCGTGGTCATACTAATATCTTGGTATGTCAGAAAGTAATGATGCTTGTTCTATACTTATGAGCTTATACTTACCCTGTCTATGGCATTGAGTTGACTGGATGTCCCATATATTTTCTCTAATCTATACTGAGGCTGTTGACTACATTGGGATATATGGTGTAAAATAATTGTGAAACGTTAAAAGGCTTTCTTCTTAGCATTCTGCAATACAATGGATTCTTGAAGATTTCCATGCAACATCTTGACAATGCATTGGACCCTTAATGCTTAATAGGCTTGAATTTTTCTTTTGGAGTTATTAGTTTGGAGAACCTCTAACTTCTGTTTGGGATATATACACCTAGGGGGAGCCTTTCAAGAGGTGTAATTTGTAACTACATGTGAGTTTCCCAGTCAGTGTGACCATATGTATACAATCCGAGGCCATAAGTTGGGTGTCATCGCCATATCTGGATTCTTCATAGGCAACTTCTTATCTTTTTCCTGCACTTGTGCATTGTATGTTTATTCACATTTTTCTGAATTGCACTTAATTTAATTTAGGAGTTCTTAGACACCATTGATATGTAGTTTCTTTTTTGGACATTGCTTTGCAGGTTGCCACTGATGTTGCATCTCGTGGTCTAGACGTTTCTGGGGTTGCTCATGTAGTTAATCTAGATCTTCCAAAGGTATATCTTGCTGCAAGTTACAGCTTCTTGGTCACTGAGTCTCATTTGAGACCTGACAACTATTTTTTGGAACTATACTTTGAATTTTATTTTTGGAGTTGTGGTTGGTTCCTGGATTGCCATTCTAGCAATTTTTTGATGTATCTTAGTTGGAGCGAGTGTCGTCTGTAAGAAATTTTTTAAATATGGTTTTTCCTGTGATGTAAGTAATTGTAAGCCATTCTTTATGAATTTCTATGACTAATCTGTCAGCTATTGTTAGATGAAATTTCAGTAACTGTTAGTATACTTCACGATGCTGAAACTTGAACTTCTGTTCTGGCTGCCTCAATTATAGACCATGGAAGATTATGTACACCGTATCGGTAGGACAGGCCGTGCTGGATCAACAGGCCGAGCTACTTCATTTTACACTGACCGTGATACGGTTTCTCCCTCCTCCTCTTTTACCTTTCTTACTCTTGTCCTCTGTTTGTTCATGTTCATTGATTTTTTTTCTCTATCCTTGCTCGGCGTAATGGCACATTGCAGTTCCTTGTCACCCAAATAAGGAAAGCAATAGCAGATGTGGAATCTGGCAACACTGTGGCTTTTGCCACTGGGAAGGTATGGTTCACTGTTATATGCATATTAGAAAATAGTGCTATATTCCGTTTCCGTTTTCACTATGCTCCAGAGGAATTGCTTTTAGGATATACTGGATTTTTCATTGTCAGAAAAGTTTTCACTTTTCTCTATCTCTCGTTCTTCATGGTTCCTACGTGCTGTTGCTACTATTGACTTTCAGGTTGCTAGAAGGAAGGAGAGAGAAGCAGCAGCTGCCCAAAAAGACGCTCAGATTGCACTGTCCAAACTCGCACTGATGGGACCCACGTCAATAAGTGTGGAGGATAAGTACAAGTACATGATTGCCCCGTCTATGTTCAAGAAAGAGGGTGTAGCAGATGGTGCTTGGGATGATTGATATATATTTTTATTGCATGGAACTTTGGTGCACTTCACAGTGAAGTCCCCAAGAACTCAAGGTTGCCAAGGTATGGTAGCTTTTGCAACTTTTTTTTTATGTTCCATAGGATAAAAAGTAAAAAAGATGGAAAGTAAGAGAGATACACTTTCTATCTTTTAAGGATGAAAAGTAAGAATGATACACTTTTTTTTTTTGTGTTTGGTTGGATGGATGGAAAATAAAAATGATTAATTTTAATTTTTTTTTTGTCTAATATTAGGGGTGACAAACGAGTCATGTTATGTCATATTCATGTTGAATTATAAAATTATGAGTTTTTTATATTTTTTTTTCGCGTGTCAGGTCATTTTCAAGTTCGTGTCATAAAATTCGTGTTATGTCATTGTGTTGATTCGAAAATTTTTACCACTAGTTAAGATAAAAAAAAATATATTTTTTTAATTTAAAATTATTATTTTTATTTTATTATTTTATTATATATATATATATATATATATATATATATATATATGATGGATTGATTTTAGTGAATTGGAAGGAAAGTTAAATCATTCACTTTTACGTCTTTCTTATTTTCCTTCTTTACTAAACATGATGTTTTATTTATCTTTCAAATTTTTTATCTTTCAAATTTTTCATCATACCAAACGGAGCATTGGTGTAAGTGGGCTCTGTTTAACTTCTTCATAGTCTGGCAAAATGTGGGAAAGTTAGAAATGAAATGACAAACCTCATCCTCCCATTCGTTTGTTTTGCAGTCACTGACGAAGAAATCATGCATATAAGTATACATATGCTGCCCAAGACTTGGGGCACGAAGTGCAAAACATGTTGAAGCTGACATTGTAAATACAGATTCCACTTTCTATTGGTTCTTTATACCATCTGATGATGTTGGGGACAATTGTCGGTGTTTTCAGACTTTGTAAGGTTTGTTGATGCATATTTGTAACCGTCGGCTTAAAAACTTCGTTTTATTGGAAAGATGTAGTTTAGCTGGACTCTCTCTCACAAACTGGAAAATCTTTGGCTCTGTCGATCGATATTGGCTTTACATCCATGGAACACAAGTGTAATACAGGCACCATAATCCCCTGAAACTCCGTAGATGATCTCGACGCATCCCCCCAAGCTGTGGGAATAAACTGAACACTTAGTGGTGTTGTTTGACAGCCAATTTCCCAAGCAGCTTACAGGTCTCATAACCCATGTGAACATACCAGGGGTCGGGTATCTGGTCAAACTGGATCCAATTTCTAATAGAAGCAAACATAACAGTCAGGACAGAAGGCAGATGGATGCTTACGGCACTTACAGAAACAGAACCACCAGAAGGCCAATACGGCCATAATTACGAAGAGGAAGTCCCCAGAAACTCTCGAAGGAATTTTCAAAAAAAAAAATTGAAAACAGAAAAGCAGTAAGAAAAGTAATGAAAAGCTCCAAGAAGAAGATTATCCAACAGCACATAATAACTTAGGATGCCATAACTGGAAGTCGCTTGTGCCCCATAAATGCCCGTCGAAGCTGTTGATACCCATTCCTGTAATGCTCAAGCGAGAAACAAAGCTGCCTTATTGCCTCCCGTTTCTCCTCTGCTCCTTCCAAAATCACTTCTCTTTGCCTCTCATTCTCCTCCTCCAGTTCTCTACCTCTTGATCTCAGTTCCTCAACCTGTTTACGTGTCCTTTCAGCTGCTGCAGTCAGTTCAACATGTTCCATGTGTAATTGATGCAAATGCTTGCCCATTTGATCAATCCGATCGTCCTTAGAACTACTCTCTGCATTCAGATTATCTCTCTCTGCAATCAGCATGTCATATTTCAATTTTAACGCATCAAGGCTTTTGTTCAACTCTTCTATCCGACTACCTCTCTCAGCAATGCCTACCTCCAACTGCTCAATCTCAGCTCCAAGCAGAGCTTCCATCTCTGATTTTCCAGCCTTTACTCGTCTGACTTCCTCCTCCAAAGATTGGCAACGCAGATCCCATTCTTTAAGATTGTCCTCCAAATAGGCTCGTTCCTTCAACTGCCTAGTTACTTCAGCCTGAAGGTGCGAGTTTTCTTCAGATAAGCTCTGGTTGGCATTGGAAATCGTCTCTCTTAAGGCCCTGATCTCTTGATCACGACCCGACAAATTGGCTTTATACCTCTCAATTCTATCCTGCATCTTTGAAACCTCTTTTTCCTTCCTATCTACCTTGGTTTTCCATGTTGCAATATCTCTCTGAGCTGAACCAAGTTCATGTCTCAAACTTGCAACTTCTTTTTCTGTGCCGTTCAGTGCTGCTTTGGTTATTTTTAGCTCCTCCTCGAGTGTTTGAATATTGTGTTCTGAGTCTGAAACTTCTGCTTCCAGCCCACCAATTCTTCCTTGAAGCTGTGTAACCTGTTTTTTCTCCTCTTCCAAACCACCTCCCAAATTTTTTTCATCTTTATGCATTGATTCACGCTCAACCTGTACATTGTTGGTGGATTCCAAGGTTTCACACTTGTGGAGCTCAATCTTCAACCTAGCAATCTCTTCTTCTGAAAGGCGAATCTTTTCCTCTGCAACTCTCAGTTCTTCCTCGTATCCTGCAATTCTTAGTAGTAGAACTTCAGAATTCCCACTTTCAATTCCCCTCGAAATGCCATCTGAGTTATTTTTCTGTTGCATTCGTAGCTTTTCCTTCGCATCCTGAAGCTCAACTCCCATTTCAATAATCTTCTGCCGTATGCCTTGGTCATCACCATTCCCTGGCATGCCTGAGTAATTGTTGACAGAGGAGTCATCTGATTCTGATTCCGAGTCCAACGTAGACGATTCATCTTCTTTGGTGTTCAAATCTGAGCTACTTCCACCAGTTCCAAGGAAGAATTCAAAACCAGCAGGTCGAGGACCAGATCTACGACGACTCAATCCCTGATCAGGAGTGGTCCATGTGGAGGGAGGTTCAGAACCAGTATCAGATATGCCTGAGCCCTGGGATTGGAGATCAGAGGGAATGTTCTTCCGCAGTTCACCAGTCACATTATCATAACGCTCAGCTAGCGACCGGTACATTCGGTAGAATTCCTCAACGAGCTTAATCAATTCTGGCCTTTTCTGATAATACATCTCAGCCTTCTTAGAAAATGTATCCGCATCCTCTTCAACAAGTTTCAACATCTGTTTTACTCTCTGATCCATCTCTGAGATTAACAAACATTTTTGTCATTTTCTTAAAGACATTTTGGCAGTACAGATTAATGTAGTATGAAATGATTTTGTAATTCTCAACACACAATTTAGGTCTATATGCAGTCCAACCCTCCCAGCATCCCGTATTAGAGTGGACATATTTGCGCTAAGGTTGTCTAATCATAATTTAACTACTCAGACATCACTTGCCCCTTTCAGACAGTCTAATGCAGATCTTTAGGCTGACCAAATGAAAAAAATATTATAGCCTGAATCTCAGACACAGGTGATGGCCAGTTCAGGTAAAGAAACTTTTACATTACTCTATGACCGTAGAAGGTATAATGTTTCCTGACAAAAATAAGCCAGCTACCTTTATGCATGTGGGGAACGCAAAAATTATAATAGGACTACTACATACAAAAAGGGAAGAAGGGAGAAGAGGGGAGGGGTGGACACAACAAACATGATCATCCAGAATCGCTTAAAACGCAATATACATTGGTTGCCTATTGGCAATCCACTGGTCAATACAGAATTCATAATTAGTCCATTCGCAACTAAAAGGCCCAGTTTTGATCAATTTAGATATCAATCATATGATGGTCCAAACTCCAAGAACCATTATCTGAAGTTGTCTAGCTGAGTGAGTTGGTACAAAAGAATGTTCTCTCAAAATCTCCTAAACTTCACATGTCGTTTTTTTAAAGACCTGGCACCTGGTACTACTTATATTGTGCAAAATTAAAGTGTGTAATGATTATCAACACCAAGATTCAACAGAAACAATTGCAATATTAGTTGCTTACCTTCTAGATTTTCTTGAAGCCACTTCGAGTTTTTGGGACTAATGTGGCTGTCCCACCACCATGAATGTGACTTTTTTGATTCTGTCCTCTTCATCCTATTTGGCTTACCCTGAATTCACAATGTTGCAACTGATAAAAATGTAGCCAACTGACATAGAAGCTCAAAAGTGGCAGGGTTTTCAATAAAAGGAGCACAGTTGTAAAAACACAAAACTTAAAAGCTTAAAAGGCGTAGAAATATCTAAAAAAAAACATTCTAGGAAGGGGTCATTTACTAGAAGCAGGGTAATTTAGAAATCTCAAACTATTAGAATTTGACAGGATTGACATTTGAGGAAACCTTCAAGTGTAATAACAAATTCAAATCGAATATCCTCACTCTATATCATAGTGACACTTGTCATGGTCTGATATTTGCTGTAGTTTACTTACTTACCAAAGATGCCATTTTGCTGGGTTGGTCAGATTTGCAAGTTGATAA